AAGAAAAGTGAATAATTTTTTAAAAATCTCCTGGTACAAAGCATCCAGGATATTGAACATTATAAAAAGACCAAACAATAACAATTTTATTCTAACCCATGAATGATAGGAATAGAAGAAGGAAAAGAATCCCATCTGAAAGGCCCAGAATATATTTTCACCAAAATCACACAAGAAAGCTTTTGTAACCAAAGAAAGAAAAGCCAGTAAAAGTGCAAGAGGCACACAGCACCAGAAATAAAAGTTCCATTGCCGCATAACAATGAAAATTCTAAACATACAGAACAAAGAAAGAATATTAAAAGCTGCAAAGGAAAAAGGCCAAGTAACATAAATTCAAATTACAATTACATATGACTTCTTAATGAAGACTCTAAAAGTCAGAAGGGCTTATACATATGTGCTGCATACTCTAACAGATTACTGATGCCCAAAAAAGTTTAAATTTCCATTGATGGAAAAAATAAAATGACCCATGATAGTGTCAAATTTAAACCATATTTATCAAAAAAAATCTAGCAATACAGAAGAACTTTGAAGAAAAAATCCATACCAAGGTGCTTAAACACACACACACGCACACACACACACACACACACACACACACACACACACACACACACCATAGGAAATAAGTAAACTCACATCAACATGCAAAAAATGGAAACACAAACACACACATACATACTCACTCACAAACACACACCACCACCAGTGAGATAACAAGTGTTAACAACCATTGGTTATTGATATCGCTCAATAACAATGGTATCAATTGCCCAATAAAAAACATAGATGTGGAAACAGAATTCATCCTACAGCTGCACAGAAGAAAAATACACCAACATCAAGGATATGAATTTTCTCAATGTAAAAGATTGAAAAAAGATATTCTCAACAAATTGACCTGAGAAGCAAGAAGGTGTAATCATTTTTATATCTACTAAAATGACTTCAAAGCAAAAGTTATGGAGATGTTAGTACATAATAATCAAAGGAAAAATCCACTAAAATGACATTTTCTCTGTTAACATATATTCCCTAAACACAAGGATGTCCACATTTTAAAAAGAAACACTATTACATTTAAAACTACATATTGACTCTTACAAACCAGTAGTGGGAGACTTCAGTACCACACTGTCATCAATGGACAGGTCATCTGGAAAAAAACTAAATGTTGGAACTAACAGACATTGTAAACCAAATCAATTATCAATGATATTCACAGAACATTTTACTCAAACACAAAAGAATATACTTTCAGAACCTCATGCTCAAACACAAAACAATTCTTAATAGATACAACAAAATTAAAATAACTTCTAGTATTCCTTCAGACCACCATGGATTGAAGTTGATATTAACAACAGAAAACTTAAATACTCATGGAAACAGCACAACTATCTACGAAAGGAAAAACTGGTCAAGAGAAAAATAAAGAATGAAACAAAAGACTTCCTAGAATTTAATAAAAATTAATATACAACATACCAAATTTAGGGAATACAATAAAAGAGTAACCAGGAGACAAGTTTGTAACATTAAATGCCTAATTAAGAAAGTTAGAGAAATCTCATACTGGCAACTTAACAGCACACCTAAACTCTAGAATAGAGTAAGTAAATTCATGAAATAGAAACAGACAGAAAGAGATAATCTAACTGAGGGATGAAATCAATAAAACAGAAACAAAGAAAACAATACAAAGAATCAACAAAACAGTTGATTAAAAAAATTCAATAAGATTGACAAACCCTTATCCAAACTAACTAAAATACACAGAGACTATCCAAATAAATAAAATCAGAAACAAAAGGGTATTATAGCAGACTATGAAGAAGTCCACAAAATCACAAGGACATACTTTAAAACTTGTACTCATCAATGCTAGAAAATCTAAAAGAAATGGATAATTTGATAAGAGGTAGCATTTACCATAGCTAAATCAAAATTAGATAAAAACATTCCAAAACAAAAGAAATTTACAAATGAACAGAAAAACTTCACCCAAAACAAACAAAAAAAAAACAAGGTAACAAAAAAACTCCATCATAGGGCCATATGGATTAAGAGAAAAATTCTGCCAGGCATTCAAAAAAAATTCAATGAATAATCTCCTCAATTTATTCCACAAAATAGGATCATTTTATAAGGCCACAGTTACCCTGATCTCCAAACCAACCAAGGACTCAACAAAGAAAATTGCAGAACAATTCCTCTTATGAACATGATGCAAAAATATTCAATAAATGCTTGCAAACTGAATGTAAAAACATGTCAAAAAGCCCATCTACCATGATCAAGTAGGCTTCATCCCAGAGATTCAGAGGTGGTTCAAGATAGGAACATCAGTGAATATAACACACCATATTTCTAAACTGCAAGGAAAAAGACCTGCATGATCATCTTATTAGATTCCATACACTCTTTTGACAAAAATACCACCTCTTCATGACAAGAGTCATGACTCCTGGAGAGATTAGGGACAAAGGTGACATACCTAAACATAAAAAAGGCAATTTAGTGTAGGCCTGTAGACAAATCAAATTAAATAGAGAGAAATTCAAAGAAATTTCACTGAAATTATGAACATGACAAGGTTTCCACTCTCTCTGTATCTCATCAATAAAATATTTCAGGTTTAAGCTAGAGCAATGAGACAACTGACATAGATCAATGTGATACCCAGATACAGAAAGACAAATTTAATTTAATTTAATTTAATTAAATGATAATCAGATCCAGAGAGGTTAGGCAAACATGACAGGTTTAGAGGGCACCCATGATCTTCCTTAGGAAGGGGGAATAGACTAAACCTTGTGGATTAAGGGAAAGAGTGAAAGCTAGAATTGATGGGCACTTTCAGTTGTTTCAGAAATAGTGCATTGGAAATTTACTAGAATCTTTGAGGGTGACCCTAGTGAGGACACCCTATAAGGGAGAATATGGAGTCTGAAATGGTTATGTTTTGTAACCAGGCAATCTTTCCAATTGTGGAATTGGGTTGTATTTGCTTGCATTGTTGTTGAGGAGGTCCTGTGGTGATCTTCAAACAACCCAGATGATCCTAAGACAGAAGGTTGCTCTCTGAAAATGGAAATTGGGTCCCCATTGCCAAGAATAAATGGCTCATTGAACATGGACAGGTTGAGCTAGGTCCTGCATAGAGCCCTTACTCATATATTCTAATCTCTTTTTTGCAGGAAAGCAAGCTCGAGGTTATGAAAACAGAAATCTGGACACTAACCCAGTCACAAATCCCTTCCAGTTATCATCTTTCTGCCTGAAAGATATGCTCAGGTGATGGTTGCAAAAATTTGTGAGAGTGGCCAGTCAATGTTTGGTTTAACTTGAATCCCAGGCTATGAGAGGGAGTTCATGCCTTATCATGTGTGGAGCCCTGATACCCCAGTAACCAAGGGTTGGACCAAATACTACTGGAAAACAATCTCCTAGTGATATTCTGCTATACTCATAGACTGTTGCGTTATCTATTTGCCATCAGAGAGGCTTACTCCATCAGCAGATGGGAGCAGGTACATGTATTCTCAACCAGATATCATGCTGGGAGTGAGTCTAACTTTGAGGTCTCAGATAAATACCTCTCCTCCAAGCTCAAGAAATCCTGCAGAATAGGAGGCAGAAATATTGTAGGAACCACAGGAGATAGAGGACCCCAGGAGCTCAAGGCCATCTGTATCAACTAAGAGGGTCTCACATTGCCTCAGAGAACTGAAGCACCAAGCATTGGGCCTGCATGGATCTGTACCAAGTCTTCTGTGTATATGTTAAAGTTCTTAGTTTGGTGAGTATACCAAATCCTAACAGTAGGAGTGTGTATATCTCTGACTTTTTTGCCTGTTCTTGGAACTATTTTCCTTGTAATTCGTTGTCTTGTTTAGTCTCAATATGAAGGTTTTTTTTTTCTTGTCTTATTGCATCTTGTTTTGTCTTCTTTGGCTCATCTTCTTGAGAGTTTTTTTTTTTTTTTTTTTGAGGAAACAAAGGGGGAGTGGAGCTGGGGAAGAGGGTTGGATGATGGGAGCTGGGAAGAGTTGAGAGGAAGAAAACTGTTGTTGGGATGTGTTGTGTATGAGAATAATTTATTTTTAATAAAAATAAAAAAGTTGAAAATTTGGAATGAATATAATATACAAAAAATATGTATCAAAAAGAGGCATGAACACTTGTAGCCAGGAAAAACCCTTCCATCTGGGAAAACTTGACCAAATTTGTAATTTCAGAATTCCTCTCTCAAATGTTAGCAGGTACCACAGGAACACTTTTTGTTCTTGCACATGATAATGGATATAGGATAAAATTACATTCTGGAGCATCTCATTTTCTAACAATTGTACAAATTATGTGCTAGAATAAGGGGATGCTTCATAAGTTTCCAACATAGAACTTTAAATAATGTCTTAACAGTGTTAATACAACAGAGTGTGTTTATTCATATGGAACAGAATGTAAAGCAAAGTACAAAATTCTTATAGCAAACAGCCAGAGCTCCCATTCCTGATTTCAGGTTCAAGAGTCATAGAACACAAAAATTATGAAATCATGACAGAAATTTTGAACAAAAATCCCTGTATCTTTTCAATACATGTAGCTAAAAGTTAGGGCAGATATACCAATGTCCAATTGCATGAATTGGGTATCAATGTAGATGGAAAAATCACTATATGGCCAATAAACACCTCCTTATTGTAGCTTCTATGAGACAAACTAAAAGCTGTGTTTGGTACTATGTTTCTGAGGGACACCATGTGATTCCTTGAGTTGGGAAATATCATATTAAGAGAATCTTCCAAGGAGCATGGTAGGCAGTGTGAGTCATTCTTTGAGCTTTACCTGGAAACATGACTCAAGAGTGACAAACAAAAGGAAGGCAACACAGATTGAAGACACACAAAATCATCATCTATTTCACAGTGCCCCTAGAATACATCATCTCCCATGATAAACTGAAAGTAATGAATGAAAGATGTACTTACTCCTTGTCTAGATTCCCACTGAAATGATCATTCTTCACATAGCCATGCTTTGTATAAATAGAAAAGAAACAATCGACCTCCTTATCTCCTTTTAGGTTTTTCTTGTCTTTTATTCTCCAAAAGCATTTGGGGTCAGTCAAACTGCAGAGAATGAGGGAAAGCTTCAAGACCAAAATGACAAATATCAAAAAGAACATTTTTGTCATGTCTCTAAGATAGGAGCCTAAGAAAAGTATAGCATGAGGAGTCAGACAGAAACCCATGTAGCAATTATGCATGAACATATCCAGGTGTCTCTTTTTATTACTGTAGATACTAAAGAATGCAGGAAATTCTCTCAGTAATTTTTTTTCAGCCCATTGTTCACCTCTGGAGAATAATTAAGCACTCTCTATCCTGAGGCCCTGCATCTGAGTTCTTATATCTAAGTGACAAGTTGTAATAGTTTTGTTTATGATTATTCTTACCCCCTGTTTCCATGGGTTTTAGTGGACATGAAGGCCCCAGACATTATTTCTGTTGGGGAAATATGCTAAAAAGCCCAGTTCATCAAACCTATTCTCTATTTACCATTTGAATACTTAACTTGGATTGCACCAGATATTCTAAATGAAATTTGAAATGGGAGTGTAAAAAATAGGTTATTCATAGACAGAGCTTATTACAGATATACAGGCAATATACACAATACTGTTCATTAATGCATGTTTGTTGTTTTTCATTGATACAGCATGCACTGTATGATTCACACACATCTGATTGCCTGCAAATGCACATAGTCCCCTGGAGCTTTCTGTGTTAAAATTCAATCATCATTCTGAATTATGAACTAACCATCATTGCCTGAATATCAAAACTAGAAACAAAATGGCATATTAGAGTTCTAACACATGACCAATACCTCAGTTCTCATAGATATTTATTTTTTGATCAGCCATTTTTACATCTACAACATTGATTTTTTTCCATTTTAATGCTTATACTTGAAAAGTATGCTGGCTGGGGATTAACTCTGCTAATTCCAATTTCATTCTAGGTTTACAGAATATATATTGCCTAGAAGATAGTGCATCGATAAGTCTTTTTTTTACATAATTTTTATTTAAATTTGAAACAAGTTTGTTTTACATGTCAATCCCAGTTACCTACACCCTCTTATCCTTTCCTGTTGCCCCCACTGACCACCATACCATCCCCTTTCTGCTTCCCAGGGAGAAGACTTCCACAGGGGGTCTTCAAAGTCTGTCATATCATTTGGAGCAGGGCATAGGCCCTACCCTATGTGTTTAAGTTGACAGAGTATCCCTCTATGTGGAATGGGCTCCAAAATTCCATTCGTATACTGGGGAAAATACAGATCAATTACCAGAGGCCCCATAGACTGCCCAGTCCTGCTACCACCCATGTTCACGGAATCTGGGTTGGTCTTATGCTGATTTCCCAGGGGCCCAGGGGTCCAGGAGCTCTTCTTTGTTCAGGTCAGCTGCTTCTGTGGATTTTCCAGCCTGGTCTTGACCCCTTTGCTGATCACTCCTCCCTCTCTGCAACTGGATTCCAGAATTTCTTAGCTTTGGGTGTCTTCTTCTGCTTCCATCAATTACTAGAATAAAGCTAGTGTTTGCCTTTTTGTGAATGGGTTACCTCACTCAGGATGGTTTCTTCTAGTTCCATCCATTTGCCTGTGAATTTCAAGATTCAATTGTTTTTTTCCACTGAGTATACTCCATTGTACCACATTTTCTTCATTCATTCTGCAGTTAAGGTGCATTTAAGTTGCTTCTAGGTTCTGGCTATTACAAATAATGCTGCTATGAACAAAATGGGGTACAAAATTAATAGAGAATTCTCAATACAGGAATCTAATATGGCTGAAAGACTCTTAAGAAAGTGCTCAAGCTCCTGAGCCATCAGGGAAATACAAATAAAACAACTCTGAGGAACCATCCTACTCCTGTCAGAATGGCTAAAATCAAAAACATCAAAAAGAGTTTTTGCTGGAGAGGATGTGGAGAAAGGGGAACACTCCTCCACTGCTGGTGGTTACAGCAACTTTGGAAATCAGTATGGCTGTTCCTAAGGAAAATGGGAATCAGTCCTACCTCAAGATTCAGTAATTCAACTCTTAGGCATATACCCAAAAGATGCACATTCATACAAGGACATCTGTTCAACTATGTTCGTAGCATTGATAGGTCTTAGGTGTACTTACTTCTGCCCTTAATAGGGGGCTCCGAGAAAGCTGCACTAATGCAAAACAATTGCTTTTGATTGTAGAAGATCCATTCCAGAACACTCAGTCTTGTGCTATATAGATTTTAGGACAGTATTGAGAAACCGAGAGTGACCAATAATGTAGGTAAGTAGCACTAAGGAAAAGAAATTAAAAACACTTCCCTTTGTTATAAAGTAACCAAGAACCTACCCAGTTTAGACTTCTTTGCTTCTTTCTCTGAATCTTTTGTCCTTTCTGTCTTTCTGTTTTGTGACTATCAATCTGTGCCTGATTAAATGCTGTTTTGTTAATTTGTCTGTCTGTCTGCCTGACTGCCTGCTTCTCTGTACCTGTGTTTTTATAGCTCTAACAAAAGAGTTTGCTCTCTCTTATTGAACAGTTCCAAAAACATCACATGGGAGGAGGAATGCAAAATACTTTACAGAAATTTTAAATATTTTTATAAAAAAATTAAGGCATTGACTTCAACTGATCCCAATTGACTGAAGTAACAAACCAATACCTTTCAATATCTTTATGTGTCTTCATCACTTGTTGATATATTAATTTTTCCCTTAAGCTTTGAAATTTATTTTTAAAGGTTAGTGGCTAAATATTATCAATTTGTTATATTTCAAATCACTAATACATCTTAACCTCTTAGATTCTAAAGACGTTGGTCAATTAAAAGTTACAGGCAAACACATTCAATACACACACATCTGTCATCATGTTAGGATTGCCAAACTTTGTCTGTTCTTTTAATTAACATTAGGTAAATTCAAGCTGATGCACATCTTGCTGAGACGTAAACAGTCTGAAAGAAATTCTTTTTAAAAACAGGTGAGGGCAACACAGACTCCGATATTTTGTTCCATCTGACCTGGGGTAACACCATTATCCAATTTAAGGAGACTAACACCTTTCACTAGGAGGAATGGCCCATTTACAATAGGACAGGGTTTAGAAAGCAGGGGTAAGAGGAATAATATGCACATGATTAAATTTCTTGTTTGTTAAACCAAGCTTTATTGATAAAATGGAATTCAGAATATCTTCCTAGGAACAGCAGCAGGACCAGCCACTCATGATAGGAAAAAAAATGGCATTCTCCTACTGTGTAGGAAGCTGCTGTTTACCATATAGTAACAGACTATAAGGGCTCATGAAGAGGTATAAAGAATCAAGGCATTTTCACCCATAATTGGTATTCTCATGATTATATGGTATCACCTGCAATACTCTCAGCTGCAAGGAGAGGACATCCTAGAGACAGGTAAGAAGGAATGGTTGCACTGACAAGCCAGTCCCTCGCCAGAACACAATGGCAGTTTTGCATAACTCCTTGGACTTTCAGCTTTGTAGATTTTGCAATTCTTCATAATCATGGGTACATGAACATCCAGCTATGTGGCTGCTGCTTCCCTATTCCAACCTCAAGTCCAAACACAGCTTGACTATATCTGTTGTGTCACACAACAAGCCATATATTTCCTTTATCATTGATACTGATTTTAAAGCAGTACATAATTAAATATGAGTGTACAAGGACCATTATTACATTTTACAAAAAAAACAAAATCACACAACAAAAATGGTTGGAGTCTGATTTACAACATAAATTAAGGTTTGAAATCATGTTTACATAAGTCTCAAATTTAAAACTAAAAAAGGAAATCTATTTTGGGCTAGCTGTTCCACTGCCAAAGCTCTCTGGTATAGTCCCTCACCCATGTTGTACCCCTTCCTTGAAGTCAATGATGGACGTGAACAGGTTCGGCAAGGGTGAGCTTCCTTTGGAGGCGAAGGTGAATCCATAGCTAGATGATCGGCTTTACCACATTTCATCAGTTGATGTAGAATCAGTGTCATCATTTTTGTAAGAATGTAGTCTATCATAAATGGATTTAATTACATTCCACTTGCTTTCCAATTTATCCCTTGATGGGACATGGCTGGGGATGTTCTTACTTGCTAACACGCATATTACTTGAACTAAGTCAAGGATGCCTTCCCTCTGCTTTTTTTATGATTTCTTCTACTCTGCATTCCAGGTACTTGTCCATCTCTGCCTCCTTCTTCACGTCTTCTGCTGAGACTTTACTTGCATTGGGAAAACAGATCAAAATCACACTCATGCTGTCTTGACTTTCCTTATACAAACAGGTGTCTACTACTTCATTGCAAACTTTCTCAAGGAAGTCAGTGACTTCAAGTCTGGATCTCACAAAGTCACAGAGTTCCCATGTTTCCCATGATATCTCAGTTGCCATGACATGCAAGAATAATGAACTGATCGTCCTCTTTAGACCTTTCAATATAGTGTACATGTAGCTCTGGTGAGACAACCTGCTCTGTGGAAACTTTTCCATGGAACATTTGTAACAGAAATCCCCAAGGGCCCTTGACACAGCCACAGAGTCATTAACATGCTGAATCATCACAGAGCCCACTGCATTCTGGATCTGCTCTTTTCCCAGTTTTCAGTTTGTGGTCTTGTGTGAAGAAATGAATTTTTCTATTGTGACAACGAAATCCTCTCAAATCTCCACAGTTAATAAAGTTAAGTATGCAGGGGAGAAATTAAGACCCCTCCCCAAAGATGTTGACACATTTCTACCTGCACAGTGTTTCTTCTCTGACACGGAACTCATATGTTGATAAATCTGAATAAAACCTGTTCTGATCCCATTTTTTCCTTTTTTCCACAGAAGGTGTTCCTAAAGAGCCTTTAGGATCCTGGTTATTTGTGATGTGATCTAACAAATGCTCACAGCAGTATTTGGTAACCTGAGAACCAGCGTGCCTATCATATACACCAAAGAGTGACTATGTTTCAAGTCCACTTGGCAAACCGATAGCAGCTGTATGTGAATCCTCCATTTCAACTATCCAACTTTTCATGCTGCTTAAGCCATATCGCAACCCATCCCCCTGCCCCTGGGCATTATGCTTTTCCATCTTTAGGTTGTCTAAAAATGCTACCATTATAAC